GCGTGTAGGTTGAACGTGTTGGTCGGCGAAACTTTTATACTGATTAACATTCCCCTTTTTTCGCTTTAACAACCAGCATGCACGTTTGTTTTTCAAAGAGACAGGAATGTGTTGACAAGGAAAAAATGTACTTTAAGAGTGCGACCAAAATATCCACCGGTTGGGAAGGGACTCAACGCTGCAAACTTATTGCTTTTACTTGTATTCTTTCGTAAATATGACACTTCGGGGAATCCTTCGCTGTAAAGTTTAATAACTTTTACTGATTTTATCTTGATATTCTAGTATTGAAACACTTTAATCTTTTCTCTTTAAAGCTTTAAAGTATTGAAACACGCAAACGTATGAATAAAATATAACATAAATATTGGATGTGATAAAGTAATTGTAAAATGATTTTTCACCAGTAACACACATTTTCAATCGTAAATTGATTACAATAAATTCTTATAGGAAAAAAGAACTACACAATATCTGTTCAATTTTTTTATTGCGTACGAATCAAAAAAGTACCCTCATTTTTGCGTTTTCTTCCTCCTACATCTCGTATATTTATAACACCAGTATATTTGAAATTACAACATATTTTGGCACCTTGGGGTTCATATACATTCCTTTTACAAATGAAATCAAAACAAATGTTTTTAACAATCCTGCAAGCATGTACGCTACCATTAGAAAAAAAATCCATTAATTCCCAGTACATTTACAAAAATATAATCAGTTTACATGCCATCCCTTTAACTGTTAGTAATAAATACTCTGATTTTCAGTGCACCAGAATTTCTTGTTTATAGGTTCTGAAATTTCGAAAGTAATGCTTACACATGTTTAAGTAAACTTTATTAAAATAGCATTTTATTACTATGAACTGAAATTAAATCATAAGTACATTAAGATGTTAAAAATTAAGAAGTTAAAAATTGTGATTCGACGGTTTTGTTTACGTCGTCTTTTTTTTCATATTTGTAAAATAAACTGGCATATAGTACAGATACACAAATCATAGTAAAAATAGTAACTGTGTATCGATCGGCTTGTCTTTGTAATCATAGACTGTTAAAATATTTTATTTTATAATATTGCACGACAACAAAGATGACAAAATGACCGAAATAATAGTAATTTATCATGTTCTAAAAAAAAATTACAGTCCTTGCCTCCGCATGCAGTTTTCTGTTGCGATTAAGTTGACCACTATGTCTGAAGCCACTAGTTCTGCGTTTCTGTTTAAAATGATTTTGTCTTAGAAAATCAACAGTTGCATGCGAAACAAAATCAGTTTGTTACTGTTTATTCAGTAGATGATGAATATCTATCGGATAACAGAAATAGATCTGAAGTTTAACCTAAAGAATAATAATCTAAATGATCTCAACTAATGTTCAACACAGCAAATCACCATATTTATTTGAGAAAGATTGTACGTTACTTCCTTTTCCTTCTTTTGCAGACGTAGCTAAACTTTGTCAACTCTTTGGCAATAGAGAAATATCCTCAGTATGCCTTGCTCACTTACTTATTTCTACTATCATCTTTAGTTTTAACATGACCAGAAAACTGATTGCATACGTATAATTAAATATATCTATTCAAGCATGTTTTTTGTTGAAATTGTAAATATGTAGAATCTACTGTTTTGTTATTTAGCGTGAAACGTTATTTTGTCACAGACATAAAGGCCGACAGCATTTTCATGATACCCTGTCAAATGCAGGAACCTTTACACAAGTTCATACCAACACGCCCAGTATGAGTGTAGATGTAAATAGTAAAATGCACTAAGGACATGTCCGCAAACAATATGGAAAGCTGTTCTTTATTAAACATATTGCATTGTATACAAAATGTTAGAATGGCATCCGTGTCATCGTAATTACAAACGATTGTAACGTGTGCACGCAATTGCAGTCCGTTTTTTTTTTGTTTTTTTAGTTAAGCTAGTTTTTTTATTTTTCGATCGACTGTTTTCTTTTTATCAGTTTATCTAGATTTAGATAAATTTCGTGCGTACACGGTCCTGAATTACATCACCGATTGTCTAAATTCCTCAGTCATAAATACATAAAACACTCGCTTACATTTGTGAAAATAAAATTGCATAAATATAATGATGTCATTGTTAAAGTATACCCATTAAATTCACACACGAGATGACCTCTGGGAGGTGACTAGCCGGCTCTTCAAAAGAATCTTTGATGTTAACAAACATGTAGTCCCTGTTGTTTAATCTGAAACATCAAAGGAAGTGCCGAAACTTAGATGACTTGCATACATTAATCTCTTGATCAAAAGTTAAAAATGTCATAATTTTTTGTAAAGAAAAGATATCGCATGTTAAATCGTTGTTCAAGAAGATAAATATTTTTATGGGATAATTATTGTAAATTATTGACATTAATCGTGAGTGCAGTTTTTTATCTGTGCTACTTTCAGATTGCCTTATTAATAATTAAATTAGATTTATTTTATAAAGAAATAAATAAAATATTTGGATAAAAACTTGATCCTCAATTTAACAGCCACCTGTCTTAAGCAGGCAAAATGACTCCATCCTTGGTTGGCTACTTAAGACAGTTTTGGCTGTATACAATCTTCATGTTAAAATGACATTTTAAGTTTATAAATTTTCTTATAACGTATACTTATGACGGAAAACGGGCGGTTAATTGATGACCATACTCTTATTCTAGTTTTCAAGTGCAATGTTTTTGTTCATCAGACAATTCAGCAGATATTTTCTTTTTAAAAAAAATGAGAATTAATAAAACAATAGTATATTAATTTAAAATGGAGTCGATTTCTATATTCATATTTACATTGAGAATTGTATATAGCGTTTTATGGCAATTATTAAAATTGTCTTCACACTTTCTGTTGTTGTCCTACAAAGATGGCCATTTCGCTTTTCTGAAAATCTCGCAAAAAAAAAATATTACTGTGCGCATGTTATGATTATTGATATCACAGATTAACCTTACTAATTATTAGAGAAACAAATAAGAAGACGTATGATACAAACAGCTTTTGTAAGCGTCATTCTAGATAAAAGATGTTAGTCACTAAGTATATGGTAACTGTAAAGAACTAGTCCATCCAGGCCAACATGTGATTTAGTATTGATAACATCATCTATCGCGTCCATACTGGGATACGATTAATTCGAGCGCTTTGACAAAAAGTTTGTTGTTTTACTGCACATCTTTATTTTTTGTTGTTCTGCAAGGCGCATTCGATGGGAGATAATCGCAATTTACAAATAGTTGTTTTCCCGTACGGTTTATGTTCTCCTCGCAATCTACCTCAAGCCGGTCCGTTCATTGATACAAAGATTGCATTACTTCGTCACATTTATCTCATCAGAGTTTTGTGTGTTAATGCGTGCGTACGTGCGTGCGCGTGTGTATGTGTATTATTTTGTGAAAATGGTTTCAATTATCCCTTGACACTGTATTTAGAAAAGACAAACCCATAATATATAAATGTGCTGATTTATCTTATCATAAAAGCCAAAGCATTTGATAATTTATCTTTTCTGTTTAATTTGTTACAAAATCACGCACGCGTTCTTAATTTATGCTCTTATTTAACTAAAGTTACTGTAAGGCCAATGGGGTGGGTGTCGATACATTTATTTTTTTTGTGTTAAATGTACATATTGCATGTTGCATTACATATCACTAAAACAATTTATCTTTTCTGTATTTAATTTAAAATTACAAACATAATATTTAAAGTGTTTCGTATAATTATTATTTATATAGGAATGAAAGACCAAGTATAAAATATTAAAATTTGATAGTTGTTTACAGATAAAAAAGTAAAGTGCTTAATAGCTTTTTAATTCAGCAGAGTCTTTGAAATAGAAACACATTTGAAAGACCCTGATACAGTTTACAGTCAATCAGAAAAATGAGAATAAAGATCAACAAGGCAAGGCGGCGTTAACAGAACGCAGCTCATGACACAAGTCACACCAGTAGGACCCACAGAAGGCACCGAACTAAAAGCCTGAGAGGATGCATTTGTTTTTATTAAAATAAAGATATCTACAAACATGTTTGAGTGTACCCTTACCAAGAAAAAATGTCTAAAATTAACTTGTCTATGATTCAATCTGAACAAAATCATTCATCCTTTGCAGAGAACATTTCAAACAATGAACCGATAGAATAGCATGAGACAGACCAATCTATGTGAGCACTGGTCGCATTGGTAATTCAGTTGCTGCCAGGTTAATAATGGCTAAAGGGTAATAATTCCGAAGGTGCGTGATTTGTAACAGAAACTGCTGATAACGTAAATGAAAAACTGCTCTCTTAACATATCATTGTGCAAGATAAAATATGACTAGTAAACAAGACACCTGGGTAAACAGATTAATAATTGTGGTTAGTTAAGTGTTCAGGTTAAAAAAAACTACAAGTAAATTCAGTTACTCAGCGCTGCTTTATGCCAACTTGTTTTCTTGTTTTTGCATTCAACATGACTTCGAATTAATCTAAAATATAAACTTCCGCGTTCGAGTGATTAAAAAGATTTAAAAAGATATATCAGTATCGCTTTGCAAACTAATTTAGTTTTCAGTTACACTGGTAACTTAAATATTTAACAGGGAAGATATAACATATCGATGTTTTACAACTTCTAAAGCTCCTTAATCAAACAGATGACATCTGAAACCCTGTAAATGTGGGTTTTTCCCGGTGTATAACTTCACCGTTAAAGCTTCATGGTTCGATCAGTACTGTTCGCGATTAATTCCAACGCGGTGCGTTTGTTATCGATATATTTACAAAATATGATAAGCAAGATCAACAAGGATAAGCGGCGTTCAATGAAGTTGTAGCAATAAAAGTTTGTTTGTACTTCATGATAAGATGGAAAACCCCACATTCGCTAAAATTTGTCATAGATGTGACCCATTACATTGTTTTAGACTTTTCAATCGATGATTTTCGTGAAGTCAATGCAGTTAAAACAAGAAACACATCTGAAAATAATATTCAAACAATTTATTGATCAAATACGTTTAAAACGTACATATAAATGGTTACCTATATATAATAAATAAACAAACATAAATAAATAAGATACGTAAGCATTTCGTACTATTTGATAATAGTTTGTTTAGTTTCCTATGTGTAACGCTTCAGCAAAGTTCATCGTTAATTCTGTTTCAAAGTCCGAAATACTTTAAGTTTTACGTCGGATGCGATATCAGGAACTGAAATTTTCGTTTCCGGGATTTTTATTCAGACATGGTTACCCTTTCGTCACTCACCATTTCTTTAGAATAACATAAAGCATGTCTTTTAGTTTATATACTATACACGTGAGCATAATTTGCCTCTATCAACGGCAAGCAAGACCCTAGTAACCTACTGCCCTTTTCTTCCTCATTTTAATCAGTGAAGACGGTTGTAAACTTAGCATTATCGTTGCCATGAGGTTATTCAAAACTATATGCCTTCGTTCAGCGCATGTGTTCTGTACATGAGAATTCCTTGACCTAACATATGCATCTTTTATAATGTTATAACTAGAAGTTCGACTTTTTGTCACCAATATTTGCCTTCACGTAACAGGTATTAATTTCCCTAAATTTACCTCAAAATTTGGATAAGTCGTTAAATTGAATACATTTATAAGAGGAAATTATTTACACCTTTTAATGTTTTAATGCCCGTATTATTTTGTGTATAAGTTTCCTGTTACTCTTACTATTGTCGTTTCTTAAATTATGGAAATATATTTTATCTTTAAAAACAAGCGGATGCTCTTGTCGCATTTTCAACGAAAGTCGTTTATATTCTTCTTTAGTTTCCGCGACGCATAATGAAACACAGATTGTTTTGTTTGTGTCAGCCCACGTCTTTCTAGCTTTCAAAGTGCTTAAAACCGCGGCTGGAAAACGAGTCAGTATTGGGGTGTATGCGCCCGATTCATTTGTTTCCTCATTTCTCTCTTCAAATGTTGTTGACAAAATACCTTCCTTTTTGCATATTCTGTATAGAAGTGGCGAAATGATAAACATTACCACTTCAAAGTCGGTCACAACGTTTTCTGCCGCTTGTCCCCAGTTTGCCATAATTTCCGGAGAAGAAGTTTCGTCAAACATAACAGAATTAATGCCTCTTTGTGTCAATTCATCGTTGATTCTTGCAACATTTTCTTCGTGCTTTGGTGAATCTTTTGTAAAAATTATAGCGACCCGCTTAGATGAAGTAAGTTTCGTAGAAATTGCTCCTGGAAATAAAAGCATTTCTTATCTTGATATATCTATACTCAGCATATAACAAGCTTATATGTATGTTTTTAATACATGACATATATAACATTGTTGTGTCAACTCGTATCTGTGTTGTTTGTTTAATGGTAAAACAAATCATTTAATCTAAATTAAATATACAGACTGACTTGGGAGCATATTGATGTACTTCTCATTTCTGCATCTATGTCTGTCAAATTAAGTCTGTATTCATATGAAACAATTTTTTTCTTTGATTTCTTGTTTGTTTAAAAATAATATGAATAATGGCAGTGTTGTGGTTAAAGGTGTCAGCTAACAGAACTGACACGAAAGAGTTTGGGAATCAGCTGAAATAAATCTTCCGCTGACAGCACTACAATAGATATGGAATGCCATTTAACATGACCTGAAAATTGAGCAAGAATAGACAAACGTTCACAGAACATGGTCTCTGGCATTACCCAGCCACTAAAGTATCACCGGAACAAAAAGGACAAAAACACAAGGAGGTGGGTAGAACACGAAGATATCGATTTAATTATTGACTTATATACATGATTTTGTGTATAATACAAGATGATACCTTTGCTGTTTAGTCTAACATAAGTTGATCGCTTGAGTGCATTTGATGACTTTCTCTTGGGACAATATTTGCCTGAAATGAAATGCATTTGTTAAATCATTGAAATGTTATGACAAAAACTGTAATAACATACTTTAAAGTGTGTAAATGTAACTTTAATGAAAAAAGCACAAAGTGTAAACTTTCCCAGGAAACAAATACCATAAATTAGTATGACAATTTTTGCATATATTGTTGTATTTTACCTATAATATATGTTTAATACATGGATGAGCAAAATGAACGTTAAGAAAGTATCGTAAGTTCGTAAGTAACACAACAGCACGATTAATTATTTGTTTCAGTGACATATTTATGCCTACAAATAAGAATATTTACCTGTTAGCAATTTTATCATTAGAGCCAAATACAAAGTTATAGAGAAACCAAGCGTAAATGTTATGGCAGCTATTTGTAGTACTAGTTGGCTATCTATGCCTTCGAACGTTTCCACTGTTGATGACTTCCAGGTAGAATAATATGATCCTACAATATGCATGATGAGGATGATGAATGATTGAATGAGTTATGCTAGACCAAAATTGTTAAAACTTTTAGTTACAGCATAAGTCTTTCAGACTATTGAGAAGTATTTTAAGCTGTACAGTGGTTATAAATGGGTATGTTAACTAAAATGAATAACAAACGATTTTTTATGTGAAAATATTTATTATATTATGTCATGTGTACAAGAATCTAAAGTAAACTGTTTCCAGTAATGAATTGCACTTAATCAATTTTTAGAGGTAAACTTCTTAAGAGTGAAATGTTAAATGTTCATATTCAAGAGCACATGCTTCTTTTCTTCCTTCTTTTCCTGTTTTTACCTTTTTTTATTGAGACATTATCTGATTTCATCACATCTGCCTCGTCTTTGCCACATGTTAATATACCTTTATATTTCCGCGGACAATGACGTAATACCTACAAAAATATAAATGTTTCATTCGTAAATCAAAGCATTGCAAACAAGATAAGAAGTTATAAAGTATCGGACGATACCAAAAGTAAAAGATAGAGGTCTTTATGATGCATAATTAAAAAAAGACATCAAAATGTTTCAAAAGGTTCGTAATATTTGCATCGAAAGGCTCGTAATATTTAAGATCAAAGCATGAAAACACCTATAAATGCATTTGAGAAGAAAGTCTTATCTCAAATATAGAATGACAGATATTCTAAATGCATCTAAAAATAACGAAATGTTCAAAATATTTAGAGAACACAGCATTATAGAATCATTTGTTACAATAATTGTGTCTGTAAAATATTTGCCTAAAGAAATAAAACGGAATCCTGAAAAGAACACCCAAAACGACAAAATTGCAAAAAATGTTGCACGTTCGGTTTGATTAAGCCTGTTCATGAACGGTACTAGAAAGTGCAAGTTACCATCTAGGCTTCCTAGCACCAATTTAAGCAGAATTAAACAATAAGACATGAATTGAAAATGGTGAAATTTTGAATTTAGAAACTTTCCCAGATGTGGATCACAACTTTTGTTCTGTAGTAAAGATTTATATATATATATATATATATGTTTTTATATTCATTCATATAGAAATTATAGTTAATTAAATTTAGATTGAGATTCAAGAATGCCCAGTCTGTTTTAGTTTAAACTATGCCGGAAACAAACGGCTAACTTCAGCAATCTCTGCCAGACTCCTTCCTTGTCTGTTTGACACAAACAGGAGCGTAGAAAATAATGCAATTGTAAGATATCAGAATAAAGACACAGACTTACCCTCACAAAATAACTTTCTCCTCTCTCAGAATTGAATGTCTTTATGTACGGTTTCTAAAAGAAATTAAATAGAATTAGTACATTGAGCTCATAGAAGAAAAATATTAAGTCAGCTGAGGCTCTTTTATAATACATTGTCAAGATAAAATAATGTTATGAAATTAGACTCCGATACGTCTTTCATCTATATAATGTCCACTATAAACGTTTTAGCTACCAGTATATTTTCAAAACTTACTTTCGACAGTTTTGAGTTTTGGAAAAGTATGTTTCAATTTTGAGGCAATGATATTGAACAAATTATTGTTTTCAATAAGGATTGTTTAGTAAATTAACTGGAAAAAGGAAATATAATACTTGGGCATTTACAATTTCTACAGAATAATATTTTTTGGTTAAAAATTTTTTTATGATTCTTGAAGATTACCACGACCGTCAATGGCCGATTTGCTAAAATCACTGATTATGTTATTCATACATCATATAAGTTTTCCAGTTACGGAATGTCAACGATCTATTTGGGTACCTGCTTGTGACTTTAATAAAACAGGAGAGGCATCTGATGATGTCTTTAAGCGTTGTTGTGTCTTAAGAATAGATAAACATTAAAAGAATTCCAAGCAAGGCAAAATTTCAATCTTTCCGGTTGGGTTTAATTGAGTTTGTTTGGTTGTGGTAAATGCAAGTTTTTATTTAGACCCATCTTGAGCAAATTTCAACATTTAAACATGAACATTCATATTGCTTCATCAATTTACATACCTGTATGTCTCGCCCTGATATGTTTACACTTTTTAGTATTATCTTTATTTCAGCATTTTGAATCAACTGGATCTCTACCGGTGTATCGACAGGTAAGCCCCATGCTTGTATTATCGCCGTTACATTAGCTCCGCTTGCAAAAACTTTAATTGATATAGTAGATTTGCAAATACAACTTTCTGTGACTGCTTTGGTTTCTATTAAATCTAAAAAAGGAAATACAAGAAAATTGCATAATGATAATAATTATAGAACTAATTTCACATAAGTAGCATATTCTGTCAAATAATATTTTGATATAGTCAACCTTTTTTTCTTTTCTTTTCTACTTTTTTAATGAATAGAAATACATTCACAAATGGAGTTTTTAACAATTGGGCAGCAATGAAGTAGGCTCTCTTATGATTCGAATTTCAAAAGGCAATCAAAATGGTAAATTATCTATAGTGTTTACATCATTACATTTGGTTAAAACTACGCTCAAACATCCATCCATTGGCCAGTTAAACGTGTTTTGTCCTATTAAGTAATATATACGTAAATATTGCAGAAGTTTTTGTGTTGATTTTGGTGCACGCGCGTGCGCATTATTATTTTAGAAAGTAAAGTAAAACTAAACTTGAATTGAGATCCTGATTTTATTATACGATTAGCGTAGTAATAAACTGTCTAATAGTTACCCGGTACTAGATTTTGTCTCGGAATGAAAAGGACATCACTTCTGCTCGAATCATCAACAGCTGCTGATGTTAGGTGACTATCATTTGAATGTACAAGATTTCCAAGGAACCAGAGTGTGGAGTATATTTCAAACGTCCCGGGTCTTATTTCGGTACAATTATATTCGAACTTAGTCTGTAATAGGGAAATGAAATGTTCAGTTTGATGAATAAAGTTCAATAAACATATTATAAGAAGAACATATGTTTTGTCATACATAAATCACAGAAATTTACGAAACAGTAAATCTCAAATATTATTTTCGAGTTAGCCATCATAATGATAGAATTATCAGTTAATATCATAAACAATTCGTCACGCACTTCCAATCAGTGTGGTTGGATACTTTATAGCTGACTTTTATTCTTGTTGCTGATGATGTTGTATCTTTGTTTTCATATTTTAAAATGTTTGAATAGCCTAACAGGATAAGATCATCCACCAACTTTATCGTGTAGTGTTGATCTACTGCGGTGAATGAATCTGGGTGGTTCGATTCACGACCTTGATCATTTCTAATGCACCGGTAATGCTTAATTTCAGAAAGCAGACTTGAAAGAGGTATCTGTATAATTGCAAAAACACTCATTTCATAAACGAGCCTAAATAATTGTGTTTAGCCGAGAATATGGCTCTATAGATGCGTAGTTGTAGATCAAAATCAGAATTTTATCTAACATTGAATTGCCTTACCGTAGATGTAACTCCTGTGACATTGAAAAGGATATATTCAGTATGTCTATATGTTTTAGGAGATGAATAATAGTGCACCACTTTCATCATGATATGTTCAAGGTATTCCAAACCATCTAAAACATAGAAAGGAGATAACATTGAAATGAAACATGATTGTTTTATTTGTTACGTTTTTAAAAAAAAAACAAGAAATCATTTTGTTTCGGCAAATCTCTAACGAATCAATAACAACTTAGAAGAGTGTTTATTTACAATTTGCATGAATGTCGTGAATACAATCTTTTTTAATGTATTACAAAATAAAGATTTAAATGAGAATATATCACTCCACAATGTTTTCGAATTACATGCTTTCTATAAGTTTTATAGATACCATTAATGAATAATATATAACACCAAATTACACCGCTTTAACTACCGCACATTGCTCAGTACTGATTCGTGCCAGGCACGGAATCGAGAGTGTGTCTATAAGCTTATATAGCTTCCTACATAATAGAACTAAAGGTAGATCTATGCCTATTAAGATCAATGTTTCCAAAAGTAAAGAAAGATAAACCAAAATGAGATGAAGTAGGTGGGGCAACTGTTAAGCATTTTCGAAGCACTAAGACTTGCATACAAAACATGATTTTCTTGCATATCAGACAGGATTATCTACCGTTTCGGCGGTGCTAGAAAACCCTGTCTTACACCCCCAAGTAAGACAAGTCGCGTGCTTTAATTGACGTCATTGCTGCGCGCCTTTTATGAATTAATTGCGTTGTAAGGATCACGTCATTTTACCGTTATGAATGAAGTTTGTGAGGTTCATACGCTACTATAAGAAAGAGTGCCTAATGAGAATATCAGTTTTCGTAATTTCTGTTCAGCCAGTGTAAGATTCTTATAATATACCGTATACACCGGAGCTAGTAAAATCTGTCTTACACCCCCATGCAAGACAAGTCGCGTGCTTTAAATGGCGAGATTACCGCGCCCCTTTTATGAATGAATTGTGTTCTTGGGATGACGTCATTTTACCGTTATGAATAAAGTTGTAAATTAAGAAAAAGTGAGTAATGAGAATATCAGTTTTCGTAATTTTTGATCAGAAAATAATTGATATGTAATATGCAAGAACAAGAATCAAACACCGGCTGTCAGTTTAGACGGAAATATCTAGCGCTCGGGTGGCTGTTTAAATAGCGGAAACTAGGCAGAGCCTCGTTACCACCGTAAACAGTTACCGTCGAGTTAGATAATTCGGTCTGTACCGGCAGCCAGTGAAAGATTATTATAGTCTTGTATATTTACCGTTTAAACATGTGCTAGAAAAATCTGTCTCACACCGCGTGTAAGACTCGTGCTTCAAATGACGTCATTCCCGGTGCCTTTTATTAATGAATTGCGTTTATAGAATGGCATCATTTGGCCGTTATGAATGCAGTTGTAAATTGATACGCTTCTATAAGAAAAAGTACTAAATGAAATTTTAGTTTTCATAATTTCTTTCCGAAATAAGATATGTTATATGCAAGAAAATGAATCAAACATCGTCTCTCGTAACAGACCGGAATATCTATCTCTCGGGTTACAGTTTAGCGGTAACTCGACAGAGCCTAGTTACCGCCGTATACCGTACCCTCCAGCTAGATATTCAGGTCTGTAACACAGCTGGCGAGAGATTCTATATAACAAATGCGAGTCGGATGTCATCATTTCAGACGCCCTCTGCCTTAAATTATCTTGTATAAGTAAAAGCACTGCATTAAAGAATATGTTGAAATTAATATCCAATGGTACTTACACAGAACTCTTGGATTGGCTAGCCATGCTATTACTAACTTGCCATCTTTCACTTTAGAATAAAGTCGTTTTGGGGCCGCAGGCACTCTTTGTGTAGGATTTGTTAATCCGCCGCGGAGTATCAATTTTGCAGTCTCTAATCATATAAAAAAAAGAAAACTAATGCAGTACAAATTCAATTCTAGACACTTTTTAACATGGCATACATTTTGTTTTTCTTAAAACCTGATGTAAGTTTCAGTATTGGCGCATGTGTATACATGTTTTAGGTTTGTTGCTTTCTTGCGTTCCAGTTTCTACGCACAAAAATATTATCATCATTTTTTTATGAATGATTGTTTTGAAATAAAATATCGTATAGAGTGAATATAATATAGTCTAAAGATAATTTAGCGATTAATAGTTCAGTTCTTATACATTGTATTTGCATGACAGAAGTACAATAAAGTAGAGAAAATAAGAATCCTTAAATAAAGTCCAACACGGCAAAATAATTAATTTACATAGGAATCTGAAAATCTGGAAAAATGCTGGGTCCCCCGGAAGCATTCATAACAGCAAAATAACATGAAAATTGAGAGTCTGTGCATGACGGTTAAGTGCAACATCCCTTTTTACGATGATTGCATATATAGTTTGTGCACGTGCGTTTATTATTATTAGTTTGTAAATTTAGAATATTTATTTCCTTCTCTTGTATCTGCTGTCTTTGACAAATGCATACAAGCTTATCAAATATAATATGTGAAGTAATTATATCTCTGTCATGCAAATATAAGAAAAAATTATCTCTTCAACGATAATGCAACACAGTTTTTAAATGAAAATATGAAAATAGGAGAATAGGTTTTCTTTAAAATGCATTTGTATTACATAAGTAAAGAAACTTATTACAGAATATAAAAAATAAAATATATACTATAAACACTATAAACACTATTTTGCTAAGATTGTATTTTTTTTTCAAAGTGTTATTTCTCGGGTTTGAATTTGTAAAAAAATGTTTTTAAAATAGTTTTCAGTATATATGCGAGTTAAAATTTAATTAATAAAAACTAACCTTCAGTTAGAACTGTTCCATTGAATGCAACTCCCTGAAAATGAAATAACAAATGAGATTCAAATGAAAATGAAATTTGCAACAACAAAAAACAAGACAAAAAAACATGTATTTTGAATAATATTTTATAAGTATATACTATAACTTACATTGTTTGCTATTAAACAGCCGAAATATCCTTTCACCGCATTTCCGTCAGTAATATATATAGACATAGATAAAATATAAATAAATAGAACGTAATATCTGCAGGATCCCAAAACTTGCATGTCTATACACGTCTGATCTATTGACAAAATTTTCGCAAAATAACACATGAGTAATCAGATTTAAGGAAAATAATAAAAATTACCATGATAATGTTTTGATGCTTTCGTATGGCGTTGATAGGGAAATATTATTTTCCCTGTTTTTATTAACCGTGAAAAGCCCGATCGTTTCGGGGTCATTACCTGCGTGGGTAAATAAAAAGAAAAAGCGTCGCTTACCAAGTTACCACAGCAGATAACGCAAAGCAGTCGACAGTGACAGAGTGCGTTGGTCTAAAAATAGATTTGGGGTTTAACGTGCATCCGGAAGTTAAATATAAATGTCAATTAGCCCCACGCTTTCATATCAGATGAACCAATGAAATTGCAGCATGTTATCAAATAGACGAGTCATTTTATAATATTGGCATAAAAAGTTACGACGCTTGAATCATATTCCAGGCAATATTTCATTTCAAATACATGTAATTATAATAAATTTAAGTCGAAACAGATGGTAAACGGTAAAATTTTATCAGCAGCAATATTTTAAAAATGCGAACTAAATACGCATTTTTTCTTAAATTTAAACATGTAATATAAATCCGTGATTTAAATGATATTCATCCGCATATCGGCATATCATTATGAATAAATTTCTTTGACAAACAAGGCATACAGTATCTAGTAAACGATTAGACTGTCAATAATTTGTGGGGTTTTTTTTCGGCGAACTAAGTACTACATATAAAAATTGTATCATAGTTTGGAGATCTTGCTGTTGAAAATGTGTCAGGGTTAAATCGTATACATATACATGCACAGTGCGGTAACTGGAGTGCGGGTATTAGTTACCCGCACAGTATCTAGTAAACGATTAGACTGTCAATAATTTGTGGGGTTTTTTTTCGGCGAACTAAGTACTACATATAAAAAAAGTAAACTCCAGCAGGGTCATATTTCTGTAATTAAGAGGTATTTAAAGTGGATAGGTCTACAATAAATAGCCACTATAAAAAACATTAACAATTGAAATTCATGTATCATTTGAATATTCTATATAAAAAACGTTGTTTGAAAAAATAAAATTTGGATAAAGTTCAAAGTGACTAAGAAAGAACATTTTGTGATGGATAATATTTTTTTCTGGAACATTTTATTATATGTTATATAAAATATAGATCTATGTAATGTTGGATCATGTATTTCACGCTTGCCAATACATTTCGTATATTAATATATTGATATGTATGATACTTTCAGAGTATTTTTTTCAACAAAGCAACCCTTTTAAATTATCTGCTCTATGTTTTTGTCAAGGATGTTTATTTGCTCTACAAATTCTGCGCTACAAATTATTCGAAGAAAAAAAAATCTTTAAACAAAAAATACTCCAATTTAGCGGTATGTAGCCTCAAATATTCATTGATTTCACAATAAACCTATTCTTATAAGTAACAAAGAGGAAGTTGATTTAACTTCCGGTTATATGTCAATTTTCTATTTACATTTTATGACACATCAAATGCGTGCCTAGTTTCAGATTTAACAAATGGCTTTTCATCCTCATTCAGACGCGGACGAAACTTTTGACTATTTATTTAAAATTGTGTTAATTGGTGATGCTGATGTAGGTAAAACTTGTGTTGTTCAAAGATTCAAATCTGGAACGTATGTTGAAAAACATGCCAGTACAATTGGTGTAGATTTCACAATGAAGACACTTCAGATTGATGGAAAACTAGTGAAGGTATGTAAAACGGGAACACAAGCAAACTTTTGCATTGAAGATCAAAAAAGTTTGTTTCTCCTTCTAGTGTGATAGGCCATCGGGTTAGAAGTATGTGGGAATCCATGTTCACCCTGGCCATTACTCACACATGTATGAAATGTTGACTCCGGACCGTCAGCGGATCTAATATGAAATACGGCAAAGCCTATGAATGCGGAAGTCGGTTAAAAATCATAATTTTTTCATTTTAAAGGTGTCATTCGGTATTTCATGCACTGCTTCCATTTTCATTCGAAACACTAGACAATTATTATTAATCCAAAAAGTTGCGATTGTCCGTTAATGGTATACCTCGCCTATTATCATTGAGTTGCATTGAAAATGGCGGCACCCGAATAGAACTGACACTGAAAATTTTATTGATAGGTATAGAATTCTATTGTTTTTTATTTGATTTCCTTTTAAATATACACGTTTAGTCTATAGCCAGGCAAACCCAAGGCCTGGCCCGCTGCGCGGTCCCATCCTTTGACTTCCCGTATCAACACAAAACTTCCCTCATAATAAATCCTGTTAAACAATTCTGTACCTTGACAAACTTCCATGTTTCATTATACAGGGAAGTCAAAGACCCGGTCTGTGAACTGGGCTTTAGCTTGCCCGGCTATAGACTACATGTACACCTGTATATTTAAAAGGAAATAAAATTTAAAAAACATATAGATTTCTATACCTATCAGTGAAATTTTCAGTGTCATATCTAGCTGGGCACTGCCATTTTCAGTGTAACTCAATGTTATCATTGAGTTACAAAATTGAATATGGCTGCGCCCAATTAGAATTGACAGTGAAAATTTATAGAATTCTATGTAACTTTTAATTGTTTTTATTTGATTTCTTTTTTAATATACACGTGAAGTCTATAGCCAGGAAACTTCGATGCCAAAGCCCATGCCCGTTGTGCCATCCCGCCCTTTAACTTCCCCGTATTTACTTTTGAAGATTTTCAATGATTGTTATTATGCCTCCCTTCGAAGAAGAGGGGGTATATTGTATTGCTTTGTCGGTCTGTCTGTGGGTAGACCACATGGTTTCCGCTGATTATCTTGAAAATTATTTATCATAAAGTCTTCATATTTAACATAGTGATTGTTCATAACTAGTAGATGACCCCTATTGATTTAAGGGTCACTAGGTCAAAGGTCAAGGTCACAGGGTCCTTAAATGTCAGAATTATTTCCGCTGATTATCTTAAAAACTATGCATCACAAAGTCTTCATATTTCACATAGTGATTGGTCATAACTAGTAGATGACCCCTATTAAATTTGGGGTCACTAGGTCATAGGTCAAGGTCACAGGGGTCTTATATGTCAGAATGGTTTCCGCTGATTTTTTTTGAAAAGTATTCATCACAAAATCTTTATATTTCACATATTGATTGGTCATAACTAGTAGATGACCCCTATTGATTTTAGGGTCACTAGGTCAAAGGTCAAGGTCACAGGGTCCTATTGATTTTTGGGTCACCAGGTCAAAGGTCAAGGTCACAGGGGCCATAAATGTTAGAATGCTTTCTGCTCTCTATCTTGGTTACTATTTATCACAAAGTCTTCATATTTCTAATATTGATTGTTCATAACTGGTAGATTACTCCTAGTGATTTTTGGGTCACCAGGTCAAAGGTCAATGTGACAGGGTTCTTGAATGGTAGTATGATTTCAGCACATTATCTTGAAAGCTAATTATCACAAAGTCTTCATATTTCACATAGTGATTGGTCATAACCAGTAGATGACCCATATTGCTTTTGGGGTCACTAGTTCAAAGGTCAAAGTCACAGGGGCCTTAAATGTCAGAATGGTTTCCACCGATTATCTTGAAAAGTATTCATCACAAAGTTTTTATATTTCACATATTGATTGGTCATAACTAGTAGATGACCCCTATTGATTTTGGGGTCACTATGTCAAAGGTCAAGGTCACATGGTCCTTGAATGTTAGTATGGTTTCCGCTCATTATCTTGAAAGCTATTTATCACAAAGTCTTCATATTTCTAATATTGATTGGTCATAACTATTAGATGACCCCTATTGATTTTGGGTCACTAGTTCAAAGGTCAAGGTCACAGGGGCCTTAAATGTCAGAATGGTGTATGCTCATTATCTTGAAAACTATTTATCACAGTCTTCATTATTTTTCTTTTTTCCATAACTGAACACTTTCATGTACCCATTAATGGCAAGTTTCTATAACAAAATAACCAATAATGTGAGTCAAGGACTAGAAAGGGGGGCATATGTGTTGTTGGACATTTCTTGTTTGTATTTGATTTTGCATGTAAGTACATGCTATTCTATGTATTTTATATCAAAACACAAGATCAATTTTTTCTGCAATATTCAAATTACTAATTATTGGTAAAATTATGCCCCTTTTTAACCAAATTTTCTGTAAAGTTATTGGTTTTGGCATGATAGCTTTTGAAGGATTTTAATGATTGTGTACTTGCCATGTAAGTTTGTTAGTCAAAACCAAAAAGAAGGTTGATTTTCACATTAATCAACTTATTTTTGATAGAGTTATGCCCCTTTCTTTGTAAATTTGTTGTACTAAAATTATTTGTTTCCGAAGGATAACTTCTAAAGGATAATTTGGCATTCTAATACGATGCCATATCAAAACACAGGTTAAATTGATTTTAGTTGCAATCAACATATTTTTGAAAAGATTTATGCCCTTTTTTAAAGCAAATTTTCTTCTAAATAGTTGGTTTCTGCAGGATAGCTTTTGAAGGTTTTCATTGATTTTAAATTTATATAATTGGCATGCATGTTTGTTAATCCAAAACAAGGGTCAGATTTGGTTTCCTCTGCAATAAATTATTATTTCTTTATGCTGCAATCTATTGCTAATAATTTTATGCTATTACCTCAAAACAAAAAAGACTATATTTTTTCTTTCATATTCTCTCAGAAAAAAACCTCATTTGTGCTCTTTATAACAAAAATTTTGCTATCTACATGTGCCTGTAATACCTTCTTTTCTATTTGTCATTGGGCATATGTTGCCCTGCACCTCATTTGAGATTGGAGAAAGACCTTTGGTACAGGAGGTTTAATTGGAAACTACATGTATTCAATATGAATTTCATATAAGTCTTTGGTGTCAAAGGTATTCCATTAAGTTCCCAACTTTGGAAGTCAGTGGCTGCAAAATGTCTGACATTGGAAGTCACATTATATAGGTAAAGAAGGAAAAGCATTATATTTTGGAAGTCACAAGCCAAAATCAGGAGTAAATGACTCCCAAACTTCCACTAATGGAAGCCCTGGTGTCATACATGAAATTGTAGGTCACTGTCAGAGAACCATAACCAATACCTGTGGGTTTGACACAGACTTTAGGTTCTTTCATGTGAGGAACATATCCAGCTTGCTTATGGAACGTCTGCGGTTTTACTTTGATGCCTGTTTGTGCCTGAAATAATGCATGAAAAAACATCTGAGGTCTATGTATACCAGTAAAGCTAGGAGGTCACCATATGACCTATATTGTGTTGGTTGTGTGACATAAAACACCACCAAAAATATGAAATTCAGTTGTTCAGGTTTAACAATCAGATTTAAAACAAGGACTGTATCAAGGAAGTTTATATTAATTATAAACATTGATTGTTTTAATTGTTTTTCTGGCAAGTTGACTAGGACTTATATAAGTGTACTATATTGTAATTGTTTAAGGATATTAATTGTTTCAATATAAGAATGTCCCCTGTTCATACTAACTGTGTACTTTGTGTTCTGAACTGGGATGAATGTTATTTTATTGTTTCATTTTGTTTATGAAATACTATTTGAACCCTTTTCAGAACACAGCAAAGTCATATGGAGCATATTGTGTTAAATATTGAATTCAGAGGGAAATTAAAGGTCATTGCGTACAATACATGTATGAAGTGCAATATACATGTCATGTACAGAGGATGAGATTAAGAAAATCTGGTTTACTGTTTACCCTTAGCTTGCTGGGAACTGAATTTACATAATGTACCCATGTGACTTAGTACAGACCAAGGCTAGCAGTCAGTACAATGAACATATTTTGAAATTTTCCCAATTTTTGACATGACGAAACTGGAAATGATTTTTCGAGATTAATGCTCAGTTTGATGTAGGTCTAGATCAGTAGCTTGTGTGCAAAATTTTAGATTATTCGCTCTTGCGGTTTATCCAGGACAATTATTTAAATTGTGAAAAATGACCCAAAATTGAAAAGCGTTTAAACGCTTTTTACTCAAATCATATCAAAAGTAGCACAAAAATACGATTTTCAATTCATTTTTGAGTATATTTCTGAATTATTTTTTGCATGTCTTCCTGTTTTACGTGCCCAAGCTGATCTATTAAAAAGATTTTTTATGATTTTAGGTTTTTGAACCTCAGTGGAGTTCCTTTAATATATTACTGGGGTAAATGTTGACCCCTTTAAAATGATGAATGGTCTTGTCCAAATGAAAAAATAGACTAGTTCATTGAATATATAACTGGGGTAAATGTTAACCCCTTAAAATGATGAATGGTCTTGTCCAAATGAAAAAATAGACTAGTTCATTGAATATATAACTGGGGTAAATGTTAACCCCTTAAAATGATGAATGGTCTTGTCCAATTGGAAAGATGGACAAGTCCATATAAGATATTTAGCAGGGTACAGTTAATAAAACCTGTTTAAACTTTAACGATCATGAAATGATGGGACAATTTGTAGTACTAGTCCTTTTTTTGGCATTTCACAACCAAATATTAGTCTAGTAAGATCTTTCATATAGACAAGTTTTGCTAATTTGGGAAGAAAAAAAAAGCTGTTGTAGGTTGGGATTTTAGGGAAACTGCATGATTTTAAAGAATATTTTAATTGGGAAAAGGCCTTTTATATATATCGGCCTCTGTTATATAAGGTGATATATCACTGCTTACATCTTCTATGATAAGAAAATATTTTTTAAAAAGCGCGTAATGCACAAAAAGGTGCCTGCTCGTTCAAATTTCCTCAAGAAATCATTTTGAAGACCTATCTAAGACAGTGTTTTTTTATTTACAGTTACAGATCTGGGACACAGCTGGCCAGGAAAGGTTTAGAACAATAACTCAGAGCTATTATCGCAGTGCTAATGGTGTAATTATGGCATATGATATCACTAAAAGGACGTCTTTTGAAAGCATTCCAAGATGGTTAGATGATGTAAAAAGATACGCAGGGCCAAGTATTGTACAGATACTTATTGGTAAGTGATTATGGTAAAGATATGATATTATGGCATAATTTTATATATTATAATATAGTATCTTATGTACCTGTACCATGTTGATATATTTTACTTTTTGAAAAGAAACGGTTTTTAGCTTGACTACACAAAGAATAATGGGCTATCCTATTCACACTTTTGTATTGTAAATGTTTGGTATGAACTATATATCTCATTAACCACTGAAGATGTTCCACTTGTAACTCATGTTTTTAGAATCATAATGGTAGGACACAAACCAAGACCCAATTAAGAACTTTGAAAATACAGCCATGGCTCTAACCTGTTAACAACTTGGAATAGTCTGCCAAGCATGCTGTCTGTCTGTTAGCCCTTGTTATGTATTGCCATTTAATTTGCATGTTTCAATATCTGACTAGAATAGTCAACTGGATAAGCCCTATAGAACAATAAAACCCAACCTGCCATCATATACTGAACATGTTGATCTTTTTTTATATTTTCTTCAGGGAACAAGAGAGATTTGGAGAATTTAAGGGAGGTAAACTATTCGGAAGCCAACTCATTTGCTCAACATCAAAACATGATATCTCATCTGGAAACCTCAGCGAAAGAAAATACTAATGTTGATGAGACGTTTACAAAACTGGCAAAGGTTAGACTGGGAAATGAAATGCTTATACTCTATGTTAAGAGAAATTATGACATCTGTGCAGTCAGACCAGGGTCTTAGATTATAATGATATTTTCCTAGCTCAAACTTAAATCTAAAGTATCTGATTGGTCTGAAATCCAGCACATACTGTATACTGACCAATGAAAATCATGAGATTTGAGACAGAGCGTAGAAAATGGTTTAATAACCTCAGGAGGACACAGAATACTACTGTTGCCTGGCTATATTTTAACTTCTCAAGAATGTTTTTATCTCTCACAATGTAATTGCATTTAATACACCATGTGTGATTTTTAGATCAGTGCTTTATCATTTCTACAAAATGGAGAATACACTTATTATTTCTGAGTAAATCAAAACTGTGTCTGCTGTTTGTCAGTCTTAAACCCTTACCATATAACCAAAATTATTGAATGGACTTGCCTTGCTATGAATTTGGTGCAGGACGTTATTAGATAAAGGGATGTTAATAGTCAATTGCTAAAAGGTAGCCACCAACAAGTCTAGCCAAAAAGCACAAAATGTTCATGCTAACCTAGCTTTGTGATAGGTACGTATGTATTTTAGATGTACTAACCCCATTGTGGGTTTGCTATTAAGGTTTAAGGCATCAGGATTGCAGCCATCTTTTATCCCTGCATGATCTTAAGAGGCAACTAAATGGGTTTGAATTACTGGAATCTGTGCATCTTTTAGCTACCGCGAGTGAGATGGTTTTGACCCCAGGTGTTGCTGTAAGTTTGTAGATTGAAAGATAAGGTAAAGTTTGATTAAGATATTGAGCGTGGTTAGGGTTAAGTAATATATATGTATAAACAAATTATTTTATCTGTAATCATGATTATTTTTCTGTCAATATTTCAGGAGTTAATGAGGAGATATGGGGGAGATGTAGCTCTTGACACATCAGCTGACTCTGGTCGAGTAAATCTAGATTCACGATCCGTCGGTGGCGGGTTCGGCTGCTGTTCGACATGAACCTATTAAATCCTGCCCCGTACCTTTATATATTATATTATCATGTGATTCAAACTTAAAGTGAAAAGATATATCATTATTTTGTTTGAGATATTTCTCATACATACTGTCTGGGCCTCCAAGCAGTTTAGTCCATTGTTCCAAGTTTACAGTTGCAACAATTTTCCTATAGAATTAGGCAGATAAAAATTGATCACAAATATTTTCCTGTATTCTTGAACAGCAACGATCTTGTTACATGTTTTATAGTGTTGACAATATGATATTTGTAATATCAAAATAGTCTTTATCAACTCACATCATAATGCTTCTTAGGGGTTCCTTTCTAGTGTGCATAAATAGGTCTTTGTGAAATTTCGTCTGGCAAATTTGGGTATCCTTCCATATGTTTTTAGTCGGAAAGTTTTTTATTGTGTGAAATTAAATTAAGTAATGACTGATACCCTATTGATGGCAAAAAATCTGGAAACTAAATGATCCCCCTGAAGCATTAATCACAACAAAATCACATGATAATTGCAGACTTGGTTTGATTGAGTCTGTGCATGAGGGTAATGAACAAGTGCAACATCCCTTACACCCCTTAGCACCGGCTTGAGGGGTACTCAATTCTCAACAATAGTGCTGGCATCTGGAAGACTTTAAATCAAAAATCAAACTTTTTCCTGGAGAAAGGTAGAAAAAAGAGCTAAACAATCCTGGGAAAGAGATCACAATAGTCACATTTGAAATGTCATCAAATGTTAAATGAAAGAACTAGGCCATGTGCATGAAGGTCACTTTTAATTATCTTGTTTATATCAAGGATATAATTATCACAACCCACATTTACTGAATTCATCATTTATGAAATGTACATGTAAGTGTATACCTGGGTCACAGAGAATAAGATATACTCTGACTGAATAGGTTCATCAAGTTACAGAACAAGTGCTTAAAAATCATGTATAGAATGTTTATGTATCAATAACTTTGTATTGAATTTACACATCAGTATATCTGTAATACAAAACTACCAATATATAAACAATACAATTTTCTGTACATTTGGGTAGATAAAGAGAGTTAGTGTGTTATACACCAATCAGTTGTAACCACACCCCATACTTACATATGTACATTATATATTATACGTACCACTGGGGCTTATTACTGTTAAACTCCCTGTTACAATTTCTGGTTTTGAAAACATATAGAAAATTTTAGTAGAAATTCTTCAGGGAGAGGTTATTTTTCAGACTTAAAATGATGGGAATAATTATCAGCACAAAATATGTATATGTACAAATGGAGTATATGAAATATTTTAATTTTGTTTTTTAAACAAACAAACATTGTTTGTATGTCCAACTTACAGCCTGTCTTGAATTTTTGATCCTTTTTAACTCTAATAATGTTAACAGGTTTTTTTTGATGGCCTGGTTTACTAAATGAAGTAGATTACTTGTTAAATAAACAGAATATTGCGGGGTTTTTTTTTTTTTTAAGGTTGTTTTTTTTGGGGGGGGAGGGGGAAGACACTGTTAATTAATCCAGATTTTAATTCATTCAGAATAAACAGGCTCTCAAAAATAAAGCTACAGATCAAAAAATATATCTTTCTTTAGTCAAGAATAATGCTAAGCTAGGGTGGTCATCCGTTACCTGTTTGGGGAAAAAACATTCTCTGTCTCAGATCGCATACATGTAACTTGAAATGTAGAGATGGATGCTTGTCTAAATGTGAGAAAATTATGTTGGGTATAATTGTTTTGGATGGTGAGCCAAAATTCATCAGAATAAATAATCTATTATATAAAATGTGCATTTTGAGGTTGTCCCAAGACAGGCTTGTCCCGAAAAAGAGGCATGTTCTCAAAATACAGGAATGTCCAAAGGATATAGAAGTGTATGTTGATGCAGAATAGAGATGTGTCACTAAGTGAAAGGGTTTTGAATGTCCAAACTTATAGGGGTGTCCCGAAAAATAGGCATGTTCTCAAAATATAGGTGTGTCCAAAGGATATAGAATTGTATGTTCATGCAGAATAGAGGTATGTCCTGAAGTAACAGGGTTTTGAATGTCCAAACTTATAGGGGTGTCCCGAAAAATAGGCATGTTCTCAAAATATAGGTGTGTCCAAAGGATATAGAAGTGTATGTTGATGCAGAATAGAGATGTGTCACTAAGTGAAAGGGTTTTGAATGTCCAAAGTTATAGGGGTGTCCCAAAAAATAGGCATGTTCTCAAAATGTAGGTATGTACAAAGGATATAGTAGTGTATGTTCATGCAGAATAGAGGTATGTCCCAAAGAAAAAGGGTTTTGAATGTCCAGACTTACAGGGGTATCCTTAAATGTTTATAAGGAGAATTTTATTACCTATTGAACTTATGTGTGATCTCATCCAATGTTCAAGATATCATTGTGTTCATGTATTGTCATAAAAATTATGTTTATATATTATTGAACTAGATTCAATGTGTAACTTTTAAAATAATTGTGTAAAGATAAAAAAAGAGTTTATATTGTAAATTATGATAAATTGTTAATAGAATTGACAACAGTATGTACATAACCTGGCAAATTCATATTAGTTTTTGAGATAATTTTAGTTTGATTGATTTTTTTTTTTTGAAAACAAAATAAAGAATAAAAATTTTTTTATTGTATAAAAATAACAAAAATTTAATAAAATTTTTTTTTTTCGGAAAGAAAGAAAACATTGTATTTTAAGCTCCCATAAAAAAATAAACATTTGGTGGTGAATCATTACCAATTTGTCGAAAATGAGGTATTACAAATTAATATTATTTACAAAGATCATGCTGGCAAACACACCTGTTTATATAGTGTTGCAAATTTGTATTAAATAGGTCAAGTACCTATAAAATATTTTCCTCCTTCATTTTGACATTTTTTTTAAAAAAATTTTTACTTTTTTTAATTTGAAAAAAAAACCCATCTTCAAGGGTTATAAACCTTTTTACATAAAAAATTTTAAAATTTTTAAAAAATTTTTTTTTAAAGTTTTTTTGTTTTTAATTTTTAAAGGCTTTTTTAAAGTTTTTTACTTAAAAACCTTTTTTGGTGGAAAAAATTTAAGTCTTTTTTCTGAAAAAACTTTTACTTCGAATTTGTTTACTTAAATTACAAAAAACTTACACGGGTTATAAAAGCTTGCTTAAGGGTATACGAATTCCCCTAGGCCCAATAATTTACAAAATGAACTTTTTAAATTTTTTGGGTTAAAAAATAAAAATTACATGTTAAAAATTTGTTTTTGTCGATATTAATGGTCTTTCATGTTTTGATTTATATATATATATAGTGCAGATATTGTGTAAGTTATAATTTATGTTTAACAAGGTGATGAGAGTATGTGTTTTACTATGGGATATGTTAATTATACTATAGAATTAATATGTCTTAACAAAAACATGTGATTATTTGATGGAATTTTTTAATGTATTTTATTAAAAAATAAAAGGTTTTTTTTACAACATATAAAGATAATTTTACTTTGCTGGGCAAATTAATGTTATAAAGCATATTATTTGGTGCAATTACAAGATGCAGATTTTAAGAGGTTGATAAATGGTGTGAAAAAATACAACTAATACATGTTATTCACAAGAATAAAAATAATATTATCACCATTCAACACCACCTGACTTCAGCATTAGTGAAACACCTTGTTCGGGTTTTACATACAATTTACATGTATATCTTGCTGATCACCAATGATTTTTAAGTTTAAACTTCACTATTTCACAGTAATAATTGTGGGTGACTGTTTACAAAGCATAACACCAATTGCCACTCACCGCTGTGGGTTCGAATCCCGACAGGGACTTTGGATTCTTTCATGTGAGAAAGCTATCCAGCTAGCTTACAGAACATCTGTGGTTCTACTGAGGTGCCCGTTCGTGAATGAAATAATGCACAGAAGGGCACCTGAGGTAAAGCTGGAACATCGCCATATGACCTATACTGTGTTGGTGTGACGTAAAACCCAATCAAACAAACAAAAAACAAACAAAGCATAACTCTAGCATTGATATTTTTCTAAATTTCACCTGTACAATTTGTACATTCTTTTATTGTCAAATTGGACATAAGAATGAGTGGTCTTTAAGGATAAGTGGTCCATTTGACAGTGATATTTATATATCGCAATCTATAAAAAAATATCATAAATTGTAAACTTTTAAGACTTATTTTTATGTGTACAGAATTCCGTCGTCACTGTAGATAGATATGGTGATATAATATCATGATGTTTAAAGGTTTGTCACAGTATTTATTGTTGTAATTTTTGTGCAATAGATACTTAAAATGTATACACGTTTAATATATGGCTGGGTTTCTTTTGCTATGTGCTTTTAGTATAATACGATCTGCTTGCTATGAAGTAAATAAGTTTTATGATAAATATTTTCCAAAGCACCATTGTTATTTGCCTTGGATTTTTTTTAAACACTATCATTGGAACTGCATTGATGATTTTAAAATTCATAACATTTGAAAAATCTGGTTTAATTGTTTCATGTATGTCCAAAAAATGTGCATGTACTCAGTACAACCTTTGTAGATCAGTAACCTTTTAGGAGGCAAAGATTTTGGTTGTTGCATAGAGGTGACTGCTCTGGAGAGGATAATTTTATTTGAGAAGAATTGTAACTGCAGTTTAAAAGAGGTAATTACTTTACGAGGGGTCGCTTTGCATAGGATGCACATCAAAAAAGCAGTGTCAAAATAAATGAAAGAAAATGGAAAATTTTAACATCATGATTTAGAAGAAAAAAGTTTTTGGCATTTTGGAACTAATTTCATAGACCATAGAATTAATTTTAAGAAAGAAAACATGATTTCTTTCATTTAACTTAATTTAATTTAAGCTTGCTTGTTTAATCAGGGCAAGTTTTTGTAACTGCCTTTGAAAAGACCAACTACAGTTTCATTATATTTTTTTAAAAATTAAAATATTATGTTGTATTTTTGTTTGGCACCGGGGGTTTTCCCATCTCCCCGGATTATAGCCCATCCAAAAGTCCATTAACCGGGTTAAAATTGGAGACATTTTTGCCCGACATGCCTTCGATCTTAAGCTCATTCTTGGTTCATTGGCGGAAGGAGTTAACAATACTGCCAAGGTATCACATTTCTAACAAAAACAGCTCTTGTTTGCACCACCCTCCCGAGTTAGTCACGAATATTCCTTCACTGCCAAGTCTTTATATATACCTCCCTTAGTTCTG